ACATGGAGCAAAACGTACGTCAAGTCTAGGGACGGGGAGGCAGACCTCTAAGCATCTCGCCGTTCAACTGTCGAGATGCATCAAGTTTCTTCTGAAGCTAACCCTGCTTGAAGTTCAACCGATACGTTAACGTCAACGCCCTGAAGCACTACTTCAACGTTTCCAACTCCTACGTCATCAACAAAATAGTCCTCGTCCTCTTCCCTTGGAGGCACAAGCCATGGTCGCGCAAGCAGTCCGTCGGGCCTAGCGGACAGGAAGGATGGTATCTCCCTCCGCGAGACGACATCAACAGTCCCGATATGTACATTCCCGTCATGGCTGTCGTGACATACATCCTTCTCTCTACGCTCCTTGCTGGTCTCCGCGGCCAGTTCCAGCCAGAACTTCTCGGATACACAGCGTCGACGGCCCTAGTAATAGTCATGGCAGAGATCCTCGGTCTCAAGCTGGGCTGCTACTTGTTGGGCATCTCGAACGATTCGCAGCTTTACGATCTGATCGCATACTCGGGCTACAAGTTTGTCGGCATCATCGTCACCGTAACCGTAGCCGAGATTCTGAACGGTGGCAAGGGTACCGGCGGGTGGATTGGCTGGGGCGTGTTCCTTTACACTTTCCTGGCCAACTCGCTGTTCTTGGTATGTCCTCATACAAGTCGTCGCGTGATATAAGAGATTAACATTTCCGTTAGATGCGTTCGCTCAAGTACGTTCTGCTCCCTGAAAACGCAGCCAACGGTGCCGGCCCTATGCAGACTGGCGATTCCCGAGCCAAGCGAAACCAGAGGACTCAGTTCCTCTTCTTCTACTCCTACATTGTCCAGCTGCTTTTTATGTGGATTCTGTCGAGGCCTTGAACCACCATCACGGCACTTCAAGTTCACGCCAAAGCACCAATCTATAGAAAAGGTCAACATGAAAAAGGAGTTGGAGAGCAGCTGGGGATGCGCTTGCTCGGTGGTCAGACACAAGGAAGGGATGGTCGGTTGAAATCAGCTTTTGTGATGTGCGAATTTATCGGACAGTCATAGATGAATTGTACGATACAATAACGACGCGTCGTCCTAGCCGCTTGCGTTGTTTGTTGTGTAGAGTCCCTACCATGTTGGGGGGCTAGGTATACAGTACCCGAAGATGAAGAAGCTCTATCCCTGTACTATAAGACTGGTCGGAGCTTGTCACAAGGGGCAATTCACGAGCACGAGTTGAGACGATGAAGGGGACGCGAATCAAAACAAACGTTAGAAACCTGTATTGTAGTACCTACCTACCAATGCATTGAATATTACGGCAAAACATCATGCAAGCTCTTTGCTGCCTGTGTGTCATACACCCAATAAGGTTGCGCTAGTAAGCGCGTTGCAGTCCTCTGCAGCGAATCAACTTTGCTGACGTTCATAAAGATGGCAGCCTTTCTAGGTATTTCCCCCCAAATATGGTCGACCTCTTATGAGGTACAATAGCTATGCTCAAGCCCAATGAGACTCGCTTTTGTTGACCTTAGTGCTTGTTGCCTATTGTGCCTGGAACCATGTAAGTGAGCAGCCATGTCGTCTAGCCTATTGGAGCTCTAGCTTGCTTTGAAGGGACAGCTGTCAGGAGACCCATAAATCAGATATGTCATCAGTGATTCGCCGGTCCGAACTTGGACTGTTGGAGACCGGCCACCTCCACAAGCCGGGGTCGCTCCTCCCTCCACAGCCTATGAACCCCCGCCAAACTTTCAACCATCCGGCCCTGCATCCCGTCAAGCCTCAACCTCTGCCGATTACAAATGCTTCTACTCGGAAGGGTAATTGAACAGATTGCAACTCACATTTGACTCGCGTTCCTCACGCAGTGTCGCATATAAGTTTCGACGTCTCTAGGCACCTGTTTCGCATCAAGGACGCCATCCGTTCTTATCTCCATCCTTCTCTGCCTCCCGTCACCTTGGTTTAAAGACATCTCTCAAGAGTGCACTTGCCGTGGTTTACCCGGTACAACGGTGCATTGCTCATCTAGACTCATAACTTCATTTCACGTCTTCAGCAAATCAAAGTCAAGCTTGCGTACTTACAAGTCACCATCATGGCGCTGCCTCCCATCGTCACTGCAACTCTGCAGTCAGCTGCCCTCAGTGGCACTTCAAACATACTGGCCCAGGTCCTGACGGCCTACCAGACCGATGTATGAATTTCCGAGGCTCGTGGACTCTGCAATGGGTTTCACCATCATATATCATGGCGTTGTTTGACCATCACTCGAGACCTTCGTGCTAACATTGTGACCAGAAACAACTCGTCATCAACTGGGTCCCCGTCTTCCAGTTCATTATCTTCACCCTCCTCAGCACACCGCCAAACTTCTTGTGGTGGGTCTCCCAGCGAGCACTTGTCTTTCACCATCGCGGATCCCTCTTCTACCTGCATGCACGATACGCGTCGTACCCTAGACCGTCGTCACTGACACATACCAGGCAAGGTTTCCTCGAAGAGAGCTTCCCGGCCTACCACGTCTCGCCCACCAAGAAGGCCATCGCCTCGGCCGCGGCCAACGACGACAAAGCGCTCGACCGCGAGGCGCGCGAGGACCAGCTCGTGGAGCCCAAGCTCAACATCCGCCACACGCTCATCAAGCTCGTCCTCGACCAGACCGTCGGCGCCGCGCTCAACACGCTCGCTTTCAGCATGTTCATGCACAGCATCCAGACGGCGATGGTGCGCCCGGAGCACCTCGCGGCCGCGCAGCACTCGGGCACGTTTTTGTTTTCGCGGGGCGCCATCGACTATAGTAATGTTGACTGGCAGTCCGTCGTCCACAAGAGCCAGCTCGAGTTCGTGCCCATCTTCATCGCTGGCCTGAAGTTGTGGCCCATGGTCAGTCTGGTGAACTTCGCCTTCATCAAGAGCATTGAGGGTAGAAACTTGGTTGGTTCTCTTGCGGGTGTCGCTTGGGGTATTTACATGAGTCTGGTTGCTGCGCGATAAAGGGGGCAACAGCGGTGTAAACCCACATCGCGGTAGGACCTCCGTACTTCGGCGATGCGAAGAGACTAATCATTAGACGGGGTTAAGATGGTTGCCCTTAGGCTGATATCACGTTTTCACATTTTGGAGGAAGCGAGCGACTGGGACACAGCAAAGGGCAGTTGGGCAGGGGGAAACAAGGCGCATAGCGAGACAGCGGACGGCTTCCAAGGCTCGCTTAGACGAAGTGGTACGAAAGGGACGAGAGCATCGAGAGGAACGTATCCAGGTTCGCCGTGGTATTATAGTCTTAGACACTTGGAGTGCCAGCAGGAATGAGTTGATTGGACACGCTTGATTCTAGCTATAGATCCTAGCTATTCTATTGGCGGTTGTGATGACAACGACATTGTTCAATCTTTGACCATCCACTAAAGTGACCTCCTTGAATCTAGTTGTAAAGACGATGGGATTTCAAATCTGATGCCGCGCGTGCCTTGTCCACATTCTTGTAGAATGCTCCTCACCTTCGAAAGATGGGAAGCTTGCAATATAGGTAGGTACGGGCTTCGAGTGACCAGCATCACAAATCTTGAGAATAGAGTCTTCAACAAACAGGTCCGGTAAAGGACCGTTAATCTCACCTACATTCTTTTGGAATTTGCTTTTTTGGTGGCTGGCTGAAGGGCCAAAGCGGGGTTGTTATTTGGCTATTACACGGTGAGAAAGCGGCGCATGGCGTAATGACGTTGAAGGTCTCATAAAGTAAGACACTCGGCTGCTATCCGTGCAACATCGTGTTCGCGTAGTGCACTATTACAGACGGATCGCATTGGTTCAACGATGGAAAACGACGAGGATCGGTGTCTCTCCACCAGTTGGCCTTTTCGGTGAAGTATTCCCACCTTAGCAAAAGCTCGGCTTCCAAGCCCCCCAAACTGCACAAAGTCAACTCGGCCGAGGGGGGGTTGTGGAGCGTCTTTAATTTAGGTGCATTGCCGATCGGATTTCTAGGTATGCGACTTTCTGTATCGTGTAGTACAGAGACTCCGTATCCGTACAGCGTACCCATCTCCTGGAATCTGCAAGTCCCAACCGACTGGTCTATGGTCACTGGTATGGTCTGGTCTGGTGATTTTGCTCCGGAGCTTTCTGTGACGACCATTTGAGAGGTTTTCATTGGCTCACTCGTAACGACGTTGGCAAGTGGCCTCTGATTGGCCGAACGGCAAGTAATCCGTGCCTTCCACTCCGGGAACGAGGATGATGCCGTCTGGAAGCGATGTGACGTCAGGGTTAAAGTAGAGGTCAACACCCCCCCCCCCCCAAAATCTGCGCTTACATCATGTGCATGTCGGGAGTGCGGGAAGGGACGATCTGGCAACCACCAGCAGCGAGCAGCCGCCAGGGCCGAAAACTCTCTTTCTCTTCAGCCTTCAGGAACAGGATAGATATTTAACAGGCGTGGTGTATGGCCAGGAAAAGGGGGGAAAGAAGTAAACAAACAGCTAGGTATGAATCGGATGGAGTCTCGGAAACTAGCGACGTTGGTTTTTTGATGGTTGCAATTGAGGTGGGAAATGTGGCCGGGATGGGGGAAGGAAGGTGGCTGCGTTGGTGGTATTGGGGGTTGAGGACGCTGGTTGTTATTGGCGACTCCACGTGTGAAAGTCGGGATGACGTGGGGCTATAACGTCACTGGCAAATGAGCGAGCTGAACTATCTTTTTGATGACTATTACCGCTCAATGCGCGCCTTCTCAGTAGGTCGGTACCTTAGCTAAGGTATCTCAGAAAATGGAGGGGTCAATCTTCCACCAGAATCTCTAAAGCTCTGTTTATCGAGATGGAAGGTCTCAAGATGCAGACACGGCTGGGGCCAAGTGGAATGGTTGGAAGGCGCCATATCCGTAAAAGAAGACGGAGAAGAAGACGATCCGATTTAGCACGGGTTGACAGGTCTTGTAGCGTCGAATCCAGGTCTCCATCGAAGCTTTTAGTGCAGTACTGAAGAGACGGTCCAGGGAGGCACGATGCAACCCTGGCTGCTCATGATTGGTTGCCGCGTCGTGAATTCCCTTTGCGAACCGGGTGGAATCGTGGGGCCTCTTTTTCTCTCTCTTCCTCGGGGAAGGAAGTCGACCTTCGGAGAGTGTTGGGCATTCCCACTTTTTGCCTGCCCCTGCCCGCCCCCCGTTCCATGCTGCGCTGGTTGGGGCCTCTTTTTTTCTCAATTTTCTCATTCTTCTATTGCACTTGCTGCTGCTGCAGCTTCCCTGGCAGATGCAGACGTACGGATACATATGCGGACGACATGGTCTTTTTGGCCCAATTCAGAACCTTTGCGATCGGATACCACGCTCGAGGTGACACTCTGGGAGTTGATCTCTTCTAAAATTGGTCTTCGGGGGCCGGATGATGGATCCCCCAATCTCACCCAATATCACTAACCCATCGGCATCTTGTTCCATCCATGCATCCTACCTACCGTAAGGTAACTGGTAAAGTAAATTGGCACGCTGGAATACCGGAGCAGATTGGAATATTGGACTACTTCTTGACCGCCTTCATGGGGCTCTCTCCCCACCCCAATCAACATCATGCCGTGCCGTAGCGTAGGAGGGGAGGAGCGACAAGTTGTCCAATACCGTGAGTGCGAGGGCTGAGACGCACAACTCAAAAGGGCATGGGACGGAAGCACTAAGAAATAAGCCATACTAAATCATTCTTTCTTTGCCGCCGCCTACAACCTATTAGTGCACCTTCCACTTCTGCCCCCCTTATCGTCCAGGACTCTCTATTCAGCCATACTCCGTACTTACCTTACATTACTTGCAGGTAGACTCTACGGATACGGATAATAAGTGCACAGTAGACTCGAAAGACTCGCGTGCCGGGGTCACGATACCTTGGCAGGAAGAAGCCTTCGTCATCGGATTCCGTTCCGCGTCTCCCCCGTCCCTTGTCTTTCCGCCTTTCCACCGCCCAGCCCTGGGATGCCGCTCTTCTAAACCTTACCTCCTTGCCAGCGTGACCTTGACTGCCCGGATAGGCACTTTTCGTTTCCTCTCGCTTCCTCTCACAAACCCACCTCCACCATCTGGCATCACCAGCTTGTCAATCTCGCGACAACCAAAAATCACCTACTCTGTCCAGCTCCAGGTTAGCCCGAGGCCACTCCGTGAGGACAAAGGAGAGCCTTACCTGGTGTTGGCACCAAGAGCCCAAGTCTGCTATTTTCCGAGAGACCGCCATCTGCATAGCAAGCCACATTGCGACGTCCGTTGTTCAGCCCCCCTCCGACACTAAACCCCGGTCAACAATTGGAAAGGGTCGTCACATCATCCACCAGTGATCATCCTCCTCTCACCATCTGTTCTGACCTGCCAGCGTGCCCGTCTACCCATCCCATCTTGCCTCTTCTTCACCTTGGGACACCTTCTTTCCAAGGTAACTTCTACCGCGCATCTTGGCCTGCACGTCGAATCAAGGCTTCTTCCCTACGCTTGCGGATCCCAGTTTTGGACCAATTCACTGCCAGCGACCCGAAAATCGGCCAAGGTCCGATGCGAGATACCCACCGCTGCAGATTTACACATCCTCCGGGACAACGCATTCACGGCGAACATCCCGCGACCTCCATCTAACAAGCTTGGTTGGAAATTGGGGGTCCTGCCGAATCCCATCAAGACGACTCTACCAGCAACCAACCAATCTTCAACTTGGTGGCCCGCTCACCACGGACTGGGTGTGCCGCCGCGTGCGCTCAACTCCACCCGGCAAGCAGAATCGCAACTTCCGAGCTCAACCACCCTCGCCTGCCTCATCCACTTTGGGCCACGATTGCACACATTACAACCCCGGCTCGCTTCTGCCGCCTTTTCTCTGCTTTCCCACTTGCGCCTGCGCCTTTCTCGCGTCTCCTTCTCCTGCATCAAAAACCCGCCCATCAGCCTCACCTCACCTCGCTCAGGGCCACATCGCGCGCGCGGGCATTTTGCCGATCCAGGCTCTATCTTCACCGGCGGGACCGAAGGCATCTTTCACCAACCAGCCGCAAATCAGAGAGGAGGAACAGCGCCAAAAAACAGTTGAGCATCTGGCCTGGCTGCAAAACCTCTTCTCTTTCTAGGCCAAGATTGGTTGAGAATGAGAGAGAAAGCAGATACTGACAACGAGACCTGCCGATCCCTTGGCTGAGCGGACGACTCATACCCTGCCCGCAGCCATGCATCCTCCCCCGCTCCTCGGTGTGGGCGTTGTTGATCTGCTCGAGTCCGACCCCCGACCGAGCTTCGTTGTTGCGCTACCAACTTCATTCAAGGACCCCGCGCTTGCCGAGGTTGTCTACAGCAATCCGGCTCTGGTGAGCAAGCCTGCCCTTTTCGAGGTCCTAGGATCACTATCAAGCCGCGACCACACGAGATTCTGGGACTGGATCACTGCCCAAGGCGCCAACCCACCACAATCCTTGTTGTATAACAACCACTTTTGGACTCGGAACACCTTGCTTTCCAGATGGGTTGTTGTGAGCTCCAACGATTTCCCAATCTCCTCAGAACCTCCGAGAAAGATTCGCCTGGATGGTTCGAGAGGCAGAGAATCTAGCAGCGGTATCTTGCATCCGCATACTTCAACCGTGCCCTCAGTGCCTTCGGTAGAGTCGTCCGCAGAAGACTTGTCCTATCCCCGGATAGTTCGAGCAACCACCGAGCCGCCTATAGTCCTACCGGATTTTATGCCAGACCAAGAGCCTTTTCTCGATATGGTTGATAGCGTTGACTGGAGCGCGACTCCCCTGGGTGCTATGGACCGGTGGCCATCGCTGCTTCACCAGTCTTATAGCCAGATTTTATGCAACTCTCAGCCAACAGCAATCTACTGGGGCAAGAAGCTCACAACAGTCTACAATGAGGCTTATGGAGAGATGATAGGGGCAAGACACCCCAACCTTATGGGCCATTCTGTGACTGAAGTTTTCCCTGAAATCACTGATCAGCTCAGAGATATGATGGAAAATCCCGGACAAAGTCGTCGCGCGAGCAACGAAGAGGCATTCCGCTTTTTCCTCGAAAGACCCGAAGGATCATCCCTCGAGACGTACCTAAAGTGGTCGATCGTACCGGTCATGCAGAACGGCGAATGTCTTGGCTTCATCCACTTGATATCGGACACGACTCTATACCACCTTTTCCGTCGGCGAATTCAGATGCTCGTCAACATGGGCGAGGAGCTCGTCACAGCCAAGGACGTTAAATCCTATTGGAGCAAGCTGATCGAAGAGCTCTCCGAATGCGATCCCGCTTACGATATACCCCTGGCGATGCTCTACTCGATTGAGTGTGATGGTTCGTCACATGCTGGAAGCGAGTCGCGGCACGATTGTAATCATGTTTGTCGTCTCGAGGGCGCGCTAGGTGTCCCAGAAAACCATCCCATCATGCCCGAGACCCTGCGACTGAAAGACACCGATGCTGGTCTGGCGCCACAGTACCGAGCTGCTCTGCGCAGCCACGAGCCGCTGATTATCAGCACATCAGACGGCAGTCTGCCCCAAGAATTACTGACTGGCCTGCAGTGGCGTGGATTTGGCGATCCCTGCGAAGCTGCTATTGTCTTGCCCATTAGACCCACAAAGGAGGAGGAAGTCATGGGACTGCTTGTGCTGGGCCTCAACCCCCGACGACCTTACGACGATGCATATACCCTCTACATCCAGTTGCTAGCCCAGAAGCTTACGACATCTCTGGCTTGCACGGTCTTGTTAGAGGAGGAGCGACGTCGAGGACGGAATGCTGCCGAGCAGGCCGCATACGATCAGGCCATGCTGAAAGAAAAGCTCGCCTACCAGACTAAGGAAGCCACAGAGTACACACGGCTATTCCAGACAGTTTCGGACTTCATACCCAACGGATTCTCCCTTGGGGATCATCAAGGGAACATAACATTCGCAAACGGCCTGTGGTACCGCATAACAGGACATCCTGATGAAGGCGGTTCTTTCTCTTGCGTGTTGGAAGCAGACCGAGAAAAGATTCGCGAGGCATACAAAGAACTGCAGACCAAGGATGAAGTCGAATTTGAGTTCCGCGTCACAGGAACGGAACACACCAATCGCATGCTGGCAAGGAGATCGCCCTTCAAAGCCGACGTATACAGCGATCTTGACGAGGATCTGGAACGTTTTGTAATGGCTCAGGCAAAGGCTGAACGAGCGACTGACGGAACCATCATTCGGACTTTCACTTGCCTGACAGATGTCACCGCACACAAAAGGACGGCCGACGAAGCCACCAGGAGGGCTCAACAGGCAGAGAATCTGAAGAGGATGGCTGAGCTTGCCACTGTTGGTATGTTCGATATGGACACCGGAGGACGTCTGCTCGGGGCAAACAACGTATTTTTCGAGTTATCTGGGATAGAGAAGGTGGACCTTTTGCAACACGAAGTACGGCCATGGGAAGTCTCGGTTGTACAAGACGACATTCAGACTCTGAGCGAGAGCGTTGCGCGACTCGTAGCGACGAAAAAGCCCCAGTCAGCTGAGATACGCCTCAAGACCACATGGACAGCAGAGGATGCTGGAGGGAACCAGATCACAGCGCCCAGATGGGTACACATCACCCTGATGCCAGTATGCAATTCAGATGGCATCGTTCAGTCGTTTACTGGCTGTGTCAGCGACGTCTCATTGCAAAAGTGGCAACTGGAGTTGGAAACTCAACGCACCGAGGAGGCAATCGACTCGAAACGGCAACAGGATAACTTCATCGACATGACTTCCCACGAGATGCGAAACCCGCTCAGCGCCATCGTTCACTGTTCAGACGCCATCATTGCCTCACTTGCGCGATGCGAGGAGCTTGTCGACCGGCCTCCTACTCCGAAGGCAGCTAAATCTGATGAAGAAGGCACTGACAAACACTTTGATATCAAGCAGCTTCTTTCGGACAGTATCGAGAATGCGGAGACGATTGTTGCCTGCGCACAGCATCAGAAGCGGATTGTGGACGACATCTTGACAATGTCCAAGTTGGACTCTAAGCTCCTAGCCGTCACTCCCTGCACGGTCAATCCCGTTCAGATTGGCGAGGAGGCTATCAAGATGTTCGACGTAGAGGCTCGTCGTGTTGATATTGACCTCAAGATGACTGTGGATAAATCGTATCGGGAGCTGGGTCACGTTTATCTTGATCTTGATCCCTCCCGCGTCAAACAGGTCCTCATCAACTTACTTACAAACGCTCTCAAGTTCACAAAGTCCGGATCAATCAGGAATGTGTCCGTCTGCATGAAGGCATCGCGACAACGGCCGACGGACGAGACGGCACCAGTCACCTTCATTCCCCGATCCTGCAAAGAAGAGTCAGAGTACGAGCAGCCTGCTCTCAACAATCGCAGAGACCCAGTCTACATCATGTTCGAAGTCAAGGACACCGGCCAGGGTCTCTCAGAAGATGAAAAGTCAAATCTCTTCAATAGGTTCGTGCAAGCGAGCTCGCGGACTCATGTCAAATACGGTGGAAGCGGATTGGGGCTATTCATCTCGCGACGCTTGACAGAGTTGCAAAAGGGTGCTATCGGTGTGTCCAGCTTGCCAGGGGTGGGGTCCACGTTTGCATTCTTCATCGAGGCATACGTGCCAACAGAGTCGTCGCGGAGGGAAGCCGAATCTGCGGCTGCGGCTGTGAGAATGACGACTCTGGCTACTGCTGCATCAAGCACGCCATCCACGATGCCGCGGATTAGAGCCCCCACAAACGACCAGAAGGCACCTGGCTCGCGACCGAAACCTAAGAGCTACGACCCCCGGCTGGATGGGATTCTTGTCGTGGAGGACAACCTAATCAATCAGCAAATAACCCGTCGCGGCTTGCAGGATAGGGGGTTCACTGTCGACGTAGCCAATCACGGAATCGAGGCTCTAGAACGACTCATGCAGTCCATGTCCCTGCAGAAGCAAGATGACCCAGAGTACTTTACTCACAGCAACTCGAGTCCTCAGGGGCCTGCCGTATCGATCAACCTTATCCTCATGGACATAGAGATGCCAGTGCAGGACGGGTTGACATGCACGCGGCGAATCCGAGAACTAGAGAAGGAAGGAAGAGTGTTTTGTGCGAGCGGTGGAAGAATCCCCATCATCGCCGTCAGCGCCAATGCAAGGCCGGAGCAGATGCAAGACGCCAAAAGCGCGGGGTGTGACGATGTGCTCGTCAAGCCTTATCGGATGCCGGAGCTAATCGAGAAGATGCAAGTGGTAGTCCGGCGAATGGGGGGTCTTTCACCTGGGTCGCCTTTACGATAATGAAAGCCAGGGCTGCCTATTGGAGAGGCGGAGGAGGGAGCGGCGAACAAGCATTACCGGTCACATGGATAACCAAGGGCTGGTGGTCCTGCAGAGACGGGTACGGCGTTTAGGTAAAGGGGAGCCACAGCAGGACTGGGCTCGGGAATGAGGACTGCTTCCGGGGTTTAGTCTGGTCACACTTGGCTGTGTGTCATGTGGTGTATGGACGAACAGAGATACCAAAAATGGCCTTGGATGCTGGCGGACAGGAAGACACCAGACGTTGGATGTCATACGGGCGAGAGAGACTTGGCATCGGATGGCGTTGATCGGCGGAGGGCCTAGCCATGTCGATGGATTTGGGAAGAAAGACTGGCTTAATTCAGATAGGAGGTAGAAGGGCAATTATGGAATATGATTCCTTGGCGTCTGTCGCCGAGGTCAATCTAATGGGTATTCGCCAACGTAGACGAACTAGACGGAGAGAAGAAATATAATACCTCGGATGTGAACGTTCCAACCCCATTTCGTTATATGGAGCAATGCGGACATCACGCACCTTGCTTCAGACTCGTCGCCGCGGGTAAACCCTCCACAGGCACATACTTGCACCTGAGACTAGGTCATTTGTGCCTCTGCGAGCTTACTGTCCTCCCATGCGGGATTAGCCACCCAGCTTGACTGTTACTGGCCTAGGTCGAAGAGAGTCAATTTTCGTTGTGCTGGGAACATGATCGACACAGTTTAGACACTACATGTTGCTGCTTGAGGACTAAGTAGCCTCGGGCTGCGGAAGATTGCGAAATTTCAGAATTTCAAGTGACTATCAGGTGAGGTTGTCGGGACGGTCTCCATGTCAAGGTTGCCAAGGAAAGAGTGAAAGGGAAGAAAGAGTATGAGACGAGACGGAGAAATTCGTAATTGGTCGGGATTTTTGGGGGCCGCCCGCCCGCCGCCGGCGATGCACTCCTTGGATGGGTGCAGGGAAGCGGTTTGTGTCACGGCCCCACTACCTTATGGATGCCGCGGGGCTTGGCCGATGGTAAAGTGGTTCATGGAAGAAGATCCGGTTCGATGTAATCTGATGTACGCTTCTATTTTTTACAAGAATGGGTAACATACCAAGTAGCTAGGTAAGGTAGGAAGGCCGGAGTGATTTGGGGACCTAGGTACGGAGTAAAGTAGGTGCCGTGTTGTGTGAAGATGGGGTTACGCAGGTCGGGTGCGGGCAGCAGGGTGTCCGGGCCGACGCGGGCTTTTTGAGGTGTGAGAAGATGTTGAAGTGGCCATTATGAACTTTGGAGGCTATCTCATTTGTCCCTTGAGTCTTTTTGCGTTCTACGGGGTAGGTTTTGCCCATCTTTTGGAATATAGCATGAGACCAGATATAGATAGTACTCCGGTTTGACATGTGAGATGACGGGAAGGGTCTTGCAATGCAAATGGGCTTTCGCCGAGATGATGGAGCTGTTTGTGAACTATCCTGCGTATGGGCTTATGCATGTCATCTCAGCACTAATTACTCTGGTCAATAAGTGCTTGTGTGTAATCAGACGATGGGGTTTTGTTCTTCAGTTTTCGAGGCCCGCTCGCGGCAGAGGTTGCCCGGGGACGGGAGCTTTGCATTTGGCCTGGGGAAGGTCCGTGGCTTGTTATCTGAGGTTCCTGCCCGAGCTTCTTTTTTCTTTTCTTTTTTGGAGAGGCACTCAGGTCGGTGCTCGAGGTACCGCCAGGAAAGAGCAATCGACGAGAAGGCATGACTTGTGTCTCGTCCTCTCCCTTCCTTCCAATTCCCCGAGACATGCTCTTTCTGCAAATCTAAACGGACAATGCCTCAGCCGTACCATCAGAGGTGGATATTTGGTAGGTTCGATTTGTAGTGTAAGATTGGGGGAACGAGGGGAAGTACCTTACCCCTCCCCCCACCAGGTCAGGTACCTCCGCCTGCGTCGCGGGCAAAGCTCCTGCATGGCGCTATCCCCCCCACACCCCTCATCCGAGTGTGCAAGAGACGGAGCTCCCACCCGAACCTCACTTTCCCTCTGCTCACTGCACTCACAAACAACCGTCCCTGCGCAACGCCGTCTTCAACCGATTACCTGCATATACCGGACCTGACCTTGCATACAGCTTACCTACTAGTCAACCGGACTACCGAATATAAACTCTCCGCAAAGCCTCCTCCTCCCCCTTCGACGCCTCTCATTCTCTTCCTTCAAATGCCCCCAAACTCCACGCTTCTCCTAAGCTCATTCCAAAAGTTGCCCCGCCTTCGGCTCCGGAACTCCATCCTCAACAGCAGCACCCCGCCATCGTCTTCCCGGTCTTGCGCCTTTGGGTCTTTGTGCTTACCTACTACACCGACGACATCGACGAATACTACCCGCCGAGTAGCCATCTACGACACACGGCGACAACAACCATCCCAAAACCGCCGATTCTTCGCAACCGGCGCCGATCGTCAAGAACGAAACGTAGTACTGCTCGGACAAGAAGTGGGCGTCGAGAGAATCACAGACGAAATGGCGGACCGGATCCACCGCGTGACCATGTTCAAGATTGCCGACGAGGGGCAGCAGAAGCAGTTGATTGAGCAGTACAAGATTTTGGGGGGCTCGCATAAGAAGGTGTGTTCCATTTTTTTCCCACCCATTTCTTTTCCTTCTTGTTATTGCCGTCGGTTTGTTGTGTTCGTGGCTGCGTAACGGGGATGAGGATGGGGAGGGTGAGCTTTTGGTCCATCGGATCCCGGCACCCGTAATTCGGCCCCACCATAGCTTGTCCGCGCCGACGACGGTTTCCTGGGCGGTATCGACAGACGGACGAAGAAAGCGCATGTCGGGTTTCCATATTTCTACGGCTTTACCATTCGGCTTTTTATGAAACCACACTCCCAAAAAAACAGGACTAATACTGACGAAAATCCACCAGGACGGAAAGCCGTACATCCTCTCCATGGTCGTCGGACCGGCCGTCGACGACCCGCGAGCCCAGGGCTTCACCATTGTCGCAAAGACCGAGTTCGCCTCGCTCGAGGACATGAAGTACTACGACGACGAGTGCGCCGCTCACGGCGTTCTCAAGTCCTTTGTCAAGGGCAACCTCACCGTCGGCGGCGTCATGTCCGTCTACTTCAAGCCTGAGGCCGTCTCCGTCTTGTAGATGTGTTTTTTGTGGCGGTTGAAGGAGGCTCTGGGCCAAAGGGAAACCCAGAGGGTATTCGGGATGATTGCGTGTCAAGGGGAACCCATTGAGGGTCGAAAAGAGAAACCTGTGATTTCCCCGTGTCTCTCTGGTGTAGTAGAAAGTTATTCCAGAAGAAAATGTAAAAAACTCCTTGTTGCCGGTTATGGACAGGTATCAAGCTACTTTGCATACATGGAATTCCTCCCCACCAATCCTGAAACACAATCATCAATTCCTCCCCTCATCTTCAGTTGACCTTTGTTGCCTCGAACCATTGTTTTTTATCCATTTCTTTTTTTTCTCTCTCCTACAGAGCTGACGATTGACAATCGGCTCTGCAACAAAAACCACTTACAGCCCGGGATATGAGATAAGGAAATAAGCCGCATCACCGACAAAATCGACAAGAGAAAACAGACAAAGACCACAAACACGCACACACGCGAAGCCACAACGATCACGAAGCGGCGGCAACAGCAGGAGCGGGAGCCGGAGCAGTCGCGGGCGCCGTAGTCGAGGCCGCAGTCGTGGCAGCCGCGTCAGTAGCGGGAGCAGCAGGGGGCTGCGTCAGGGTCCCCTCGGAGAAGTTCTTGAGCCCCTCCATCCAGGCGGCGAAGCCCGTCTCGAGCTGGCCGACCATGGTGAAGCGGAGGACCTGGGCGAGGGGGCCGTAAAAGGTCTCCCAGCAGCGGTACTCCGTGCCGTTGCCGTCCTCGGTCTCGAGGAACTCCTGGACGCGCTCGGATTTCAGGACAAAGGGGGGCACGAGGCCGCCCGTCTTCCAGCAGACGCGGTAGCCCTTGCGGCCGCGGTGGACGGGCTGGGTCTCGCCGTTCGCGACGGCGGCGGAGGGCGCGGCGTGGGTGTACTCCTCGAGCTTGGTGACGACGAGGGCCTGCTTGGTGGTCGTCTTTGCCGGGTCGAGCGTCATGTGGACCTCAAAGGTGACGTGGGTGCCCTCGAGGAGGAGCTCGCCTGGCTGGTTCTTTGCGGCGGCGGAGTCGGCGAGCATGGGCGGGACGGCGAGGCCGGAGGGGCGGGAGACGGTGGCCTTGGGGACGAAGGTGTTCCAGGCCGGGTAGGTTGCCGGGTTGAGGACGGCGGCGAGGACGGCGGTGGGCTTTGCGGCGATGGGGGTGGCGCAGGCGATGGTGAGGACGGCGCCGACGTCGCCGTGGGACGGGGTCGCGAGGGGAGGGGAGACGGGGGTGGGCGTCAGGGAGGTGGGGATGGAGTCGGTGCCCTTGTCGAGGGCCTTTGGCGATTTGGGCTTGAGCTGGTCGGGGATCTGCTTGATCGAGTCCGGGATGGTGATTCTTTGGCGTATGGCCTCCATTGTTGATGATTACTGTTACTGACGGACTTCTTTTCTGGGGGGGGTATCTCTGGGTATAATGATGGATGGAGAAAATCAAGCCGGTATCACAAAAAAAACTTGGTTCAAAAGAGGAAGAAGTTTTGCCGGATGGGTATTTGATGTAAAAGATGAAAGTAAGGAGAGGAAAGACGGCGAACGGAGAAAGGATGGAACGATGGAGGAGGGGGGAGGGGGTAAGTAAAGGAACTCAAAAGTAGGGCGAGAAGGCAAAGAGAGGGCACACAGGTAATAGAAACGGGGGCGATTCAGGTTAGTTGTATCAAATGGACGGGATTGGGCTTTAGACTTCCTGGTCTCGTGAGGAGATGCGCGTCATGGGATGGGGGGAGGGATGTATGGATGCCGGCGGAGGAGGAGAGAGACAGCAAGAGGAGGAGGGGCTTGACGGTTGGTTGCTCCAGCTGGATGAGGTGTAGGTAACCAAGGTGTAAGGTGTAGAGGTGTAGGGGGAGGG